CAAAAGAACCAACTTCAGCAGCGCAAGCATGGCACCCAGCTACACTCAGGAGCAGTATGACAGAGAGTTTACCATGCGGCTGGCTTTCTTTGGACCCAACCCCACGGAGAAATACGTGCAGTTCGTGAGGAGACAGGTAGAAGAGTACCTGCAGGTCGGAGCAGGGCGGACACGTGAGTTGGCAGGGTGGGAGAGACCCCAGTGGCCGAGCAAGTTACAGAGAGAGAAGCGTGTCGTCCTTCCTCCCCAGCGGCAGGGTGTGTCCCAGGGAGCTGAAGGTGTCGTCCTTCCTCCCCAGCGGCAGTGTGTGTTCCAGGGAGCTGAAGGTGTCGTCCTTCCTCCCCAGCGGCAGTGTGTCCCCCAGGGAGCTGAAGGTGTCGTCCTTCCTCCCCAGCGGCAGTGTGTCCCCCAGGGAGCGGAAGGTGTCGTCCTTCCTCCCCAGCTGCAGAGTGTCCCCCAGGGAGCGGAAGGTGTCGTCCTTCCTCCCCAGCGGCAGAGTGTCCCCCAGGGAGCGGAAGGTGTCGTCCTTCCTCCCCAGCGGCAGAGTGTCCCCCAGGGAGCGGAAGGTGTCGTCCTTCCTCCCCAGCGGCAGTATGTCCCCCAGGGAGCTGAAGGTGTCGTCCTTCCTCCCCAGCGGCAGTGTGTGTCCCAGGGAGCTGAATGTGTCGTCCTTCCTCCCCAGCGGCAGTGTGTGTCCCAGGGAGCTGAAGGTGTCATCCTTCCTCCCCAGCGGCAGTGTGTGTTCCTAGGAGAGGAGACAGTTGGTCCCTCTCCTCAGCAGTCAAGTGAGTCCCAGGGAGCCAAAGGTACCATCCTTCCTCCCCAGCAGCAGGACAATATATTGAAAGTCAGTACCCCTCTCCTCCAGCAGGGAGAGTGTCAGGGAGAAGAGCTTGTTGCCCCCTCTCCACAGCGGCAGCGTAGCCCACCAAGGAGAGACATTAAGCTCCCCACCAGCGCAGATGGGACCGTGGTCTCTGCGCCCAAGCTACAGGGAGTACGGACAGTCGGTCTGGCTCCCCAGCGGCAGAGTATTCTACCAGGAGGGGAGAATACTTCCCAGCGGCGGCCTAGTCCACCAAGGGGAGACGAGAAGCCCCACAACTGTGCAGATGGGACCGTGGTCTCTGCACTTACAGCACAGGGGGTAGGGAAGGTCAGTTCTGGCCCCCAGCGACAGGGCTGTTTAGCCAAAGGGGAGACAGTCGGTCTCCCCTCCAGCAACCAGGCTCCAACCAGACTACTTCCGTGGTAGTGCTGGCATCAGGACAGAGTACCGCTGGTCTCTGCCCACTCAGCAACCCACCCAGTCCACTTACCAGTCACCCACACAGCCATGGTGAGGCGCCTGGACATGGACAACGTTCTCCTCTACCCAGGTGTAGTAACCAGTTCTTGTGGGTGAGCTGTATTACTGATTGTGTTTTGTGGGTGGGCTGCTGGACTAACAAGGGCACTGACCGGCATGAGGTCAAATACCCTGTTAGTCTGATTGGTAAAGGGGAGAAGTGTGGCGAAACCAAAGTCGCCACTATACACTGGAGAAGCCTGGTTGCTCATCTGCTCCCTTTAGACTATGGTCCTGCATTTTAAACTTTTATTTTACCGGCAGAAAGGTTTATTCGTGCCTTTCTGCGGACTGTTAAAGCCATGCTATCCCAGATAGCTATGCCATGGAGCCCAATCGTATACTGAAAGACTGTATTAAAGACTTTGGCTCCATGGCGATTGAACTGTATGTAGGTGATCTGAGTGCCATTCGGTAGTAATGTGCACTCAGATCTAAGCTATCTGGGGATATGTAGAACATATATGTTTTATGGAATAAATGTAACTGTATGTAATTTTATGTATTTTATTGTCCTTTGTCTGCCATGTGGTTAATGGAGTTTTGCCTCTGGACTTGGAGATAATTTGATTACTTCACAATTATCTCCAGGACAGAGAGGAGGGATTGTGATGCATTGTGGGATGGTTGAAATGTGATTGGTCCTTTTACCCTTTGTGTCCCAGTCTCCCATTTGGTCCCCTAGGGGAGTGTCCACCAGGTGGGAGACCTGCATAAAAGCTGGGCAGTTAGCCCCAGTAAATCAGTTCCTGATTAACCCTCAAAGTGAAGTGTCGTCTCATTATTGGGGGAGGATTTATTGTATGCTGTTCCAGTTTGACTGCTAGGAGTGCAAACCTATTTGCATGTTTTTTTCCCATTCGGCTGTTTCCAGTATTCGTGTGTTTGCAGTTCGGGAGAGTGGTGATTGCAGTAGCTGTCTGTGCAGCTGAGAAAGAGGAATATCACTGCTTCCTCATAAGGGCAGAGCTTGCCAATTCACCTGTCTTCCCTTCGGCCTCAGCTCGGCTCCGTGGTGCTTCACCAAACTCTTGAAGCTGGCGGTTCTCGCCTCCGATCAGAAAGCGTCCATTGTATCGTGTATCTGGACGATCTGCTGATCTTCTGTGAGGAGCCATCTAGACTGAAGTGTCAGATACACTCTGCGGTCTCCTTGTTCGAATGCCTAGGGTTCGTGGTCAACCAGGAGAAGTCAGCTCTCTCACCTTCCCAGGTTCTTGGGTTTTGAAGTAGACGTGAAAGAATGTGTCCTACGTCTACCTCTATCCAAGATAGCGACCATTCAAAAGGAAATATGGTGGATCCTACATCAGGACTGGATTCCATTGCGGATGTCGGCTCGAGCAGTGGGTCTCCTCTCGGTCTTCAGGCGTGGCCTTCACGGGGAGCTTATACCTTTCCTCCGTTTGCTATGATTTCCAGGGTCTTGCTGCAAGTTCGACGTCAATGAGTGTCTTTGGTGTTGCTGACTCCGCTATGGCGGGGTCAAGCTTGGTTTCCAGAGCTCCTGGATCTGTCCAATCAGGATCCACTGCTCCTGCAAGCACCTCTGATGCTCCTCTCGAATTCCCGGGGCAATCCTCATCCCCTTGTGAGAGATGGCCACCTACACTTGGTGGCCTGGACTCTTTCAGGGGAGCCTGGAATGTCAAGGCATTATCGCAGTCGGCTAAGGATCTCCTCTGGGATCCCTGGGCCCTTGGGACTAGGAGATGCTATTTATCGGCATGGGTATCCTGGTGTTGTTGGTGTCTGGAATGGGATACCGATCCCTTTATTGGCCCTGTAACCAGTGTGCTGTACTTTGTCTCACCTGTTTGACCTGGGACGATCGTATCATTTGGATAATGTGGCAAGATCAACAATTTTGTCAGCCCACGTACTGCTTAGAGGTTTACCCTTTGGTTAGGATCCGCTAGTCTGCAGACTTCTTCGTGGTATGAGATTGTCATGACCACCACTGCCTAAGTATTCCTCCATCTGGGATGTGCGCGCGGTTTTGGCGTTTCTCCGGGATTGACCTGATAAGTGAGACCTCTCTCTTCGTCAACTTCGGCTAAATTTGCCCTCTTCCTATTTCTTTCAGACGTGTGTCTGTTGTTCGGAGCTTCGAGGCAGATGCTGTTTGTTTTTTTACGGAAGGGGTCACCTTCAGGGTGTCTAGGTGTACTAAGTCAGATTCAACGGCTATTTTTTTATCCATTTTTCAGAGACGTGCCTAAGCTCAGTGTAGAGAGGACTGTCTAGTTATGAGACGATTACCACCTCTCTTCGCTCTTCTCATTCTGGCCAGCTGTGGATTTCTTATGTCAGACCTCTCAAACCGGTCTCGTCTCCCTCTATGGCACGATGAATTAAATGGTTATTGGCATTGAAGGGGGGGTGAATTCAACCTTTGGATCGCATTGGGTTAGAGGCGTGGTGGCTTCTGAAGCCTTCATGACGAGCGCTTCCCTTCAAGACATCATGCGTTCTCCTGACTGGTCACGAGAAGATACCTTTCGCCAATTTATTTTAGACCATCGGATATGCTTCATTTGCATTGCTGTTGGAGCATTAAAACCACAAATATGAAGCCTCCTGTCATGCTATAAAATTGTAGATTATACTAGCTTTAGTGTATCTATAATCTTAATTTTATTAATGACAGGAGGCGAATATTTCCCTCCCAGTTTCTCTCTCCCCTTATTTTTTGTTTGTTTTTAATTGACCTATTTTGTGTTAGTCTGTTATCCAGGACTGTGGTAGATGGGTCAGGTAATTGTTTATTTAGGGGAAGTCAGGGTGTGTTTTCTGGGATGTTATAGTGTCAGTAATTGATTATTGGTATTCATGTTTTCGCAGTACACTTCATTCACTACTCAGAGTTTTCGACTCTGTTTATCTCGTTTCAGTTTATGGTTCTTCTACAGGTCGACGTTCCAGATCTTCTTCAGGATAAAGTTCAAGGCGTCATCTACTGATCAATGTTTTTTTTGAGTTTCAGATAACAGTCATCGGCTGATTTAGTTTGTTTCTTCTTCTATTACTATGGAGTTATATCTTGTTCATGTACTTTGTTTTGTTGCAGCTTGAAAGAGGAAATAGTTGGTTGGGGGGGCCTTTTATGGTTTCCTTACTTTTTTGTGATTGTTTTTTCTCTCTGTTAATGTGCTGCTGTGGAGTTCTAGTAAAGAGAGACTTAAGCAAATATTCGCCTCCTGTCATTAATAAAATTAAGATTATAGTTACACTAAAGCTAGTATAATCTACAATTATTGCATCAATATAAGTATTAAGAGAAGAAAGAGTGTTTTTGAACAAATATAACTGTATATATGTCGATATAGAGTATTACATTATTTTAAATCCATATTAAAGGCCTTATTATAATTTCAATTTATTTTATTATTTTTAAAATATGTGAACTTTAAATGTATATCTTGGGAGTGTGGCTAACCACTGAGCAAGATGGACATCTGACTGTCTGCTTCAGGATTTGGACTCTCTTATCTGAAAAACAATCTGCCTTTAATACAACTATGTCCCCTAGCAAACATAATAAAACCACTAAAAAAGCTGAAAAGCTTATTTATTTCAGCCATAAAACTACCCCTGCATCTCTGGCCACACTCCGAGGACAGCAACTCAGTCCTAGACCAGGATGACCAAGCTCCGAAGAAGCATCACCTACAGAAAGCTTTGGATGCTCAATCTATCAAACTAAATAATTCCTGGCAAATAAGTGTGGAGACAAAATGCAAAGGCCTACATGAGCTGGGAGCACGAACTGTGTATACAGAATCTAAAATGGTGGAATTTGCTACCGCACACAACAACCAAGCAGACCGTGTGCCATATTTGGAGAAGCAATTAGCTATTATGGAAAACAAGATGATGAATGCCGAAGACAGAGCACGGCGGAATAAGTTAAGGCTCAGAGAAGTCCCTGAAACTGAGATGCAGGATGACTTGCCAGCATATTTCCAAAGCCTTATTAATAGTTTGATTCCTGAAATCCCGCTGGACATGCTCCTTTTGGACTGAGTTCACCGAGTACCGTGTCCAAAGCATATTTCAGACTCCATGGCTAGAGATGTGCTTCTAAGAGCACTGTGATCCTTGTCTGCAGGTAGCACGGTCCTCTTGGGCACAAACATGCACAGTCTTTTAAGGCAACTTAATTCCAGACACTTTATTGTTAAACTCCACCACAGATACAGCAGCAAATGAAAAAAACAGTAACACAAATCCCTATAAACAAAAACCTAGCTCGGTCTGAGCACTTACTAACATCAAGTTCCCTATCTCTCAAGGGTTTAAACTAGAACAGAACAATAATTGGTTTCACCAACATAGTGCCTTTGTCAGATCTCTGCACTCCACACTTAGTTAGCATGTGGCTTCCATTCCGTCTAGAAAGAAACAAAATTATCTCTCCTTTCCACACTCCAGTGCTCTCAGCTAGCCTGCTGCTTTCCTTTCTGCACTCCCAGTGCTCCAAGCCAGCCTTGACTGCTTCCTTCTGCACTCCCAATGCTCCAAGCCAGCCTTAACTGCTTTCCCTTCTGCACACCCAGTGCTCAGTCTCCTTGACTCTCTCACAGGAGAGAACAACGTCTCTCCTACCTGCTTCCAGGGAGGAGAGAAACCCCTCCCTGGCTACCAGGGAGGGGTTTATTCCCACTGCTGCAGCTGATTATCTGCAGCTGAGCAGTGGGTTGGAGACAGATTAACTCTCTGGCCTGGAACATTTTTCTCCCAGTTGTATGCAAACTGCGGAGTGGAGCATTGGCCCACCCTGCTCCCCAAATGCTCCACCCCAGGGGCCCATAACTAAACTTTGGTTTGTGTTGCCTACAACACATACTCCCCCTGGGGTTAAATGTTATAGGCCTATCTGCCTTCACTTTATCACAGCACACTATTACCATATCAAAGAATTGATCTTGAGAAGCAGCCGAACCCGGGAAAACACCTCTGGAGAATATGCAGGAGTGAAGATATTTGCTGATATTACAGGCCACCATGCTATGAAAAAGAAAATCATTCAGCCAAGCTGTGGCAACACTTTGGGAAAACAGCATACCATATCGGTGGGGATACCCCACAAAACTATTGATTGTGAGACAAGTGGGCATCACTCCCATCCGCCTGAAGATAGAATTTCTATCCTCCGCTCCTGGGGTATGAAGCCCAATTTTCCAAAACAATCAACGAGCAACACAAAAAAAAAACAAACAAAAAAAACACTGACTCAGGACTGGAACTACCTAGTATGGTAGATAATACCTAGATAACTAAATCTCGCTAGATCTGTTTATAGAACTACCAGAGGCTAACAATTCAACAATTAATGTTGCCTGCACATGCAATATGATAAACTCTTTAATGAGACCTTACACAGTTCACTACCAGCATACTACTGATGAATGTATAACCCATTAAAGCAATGTTGACCTAAGCTTTAGAAAGTTAATAAGCTTAAAAAAATTTTTTTTAAAAATTGTGAACTAAATCTCTATGCTCCATGACTTTAGTGTTATAAACATGGATATAATCTAAAGATTATTGCACTATAACATGTTAACCCTTATGTTTCTCCTCACATATCCCAAAGCTTGTATACCAAGGAGGGCCTGGGTAGCCACATCTTTGGAAGACTACGTCTTCACTTCCCTGTAGTGCAACATTTCGACACCATTTCCCCATAAAGGGGACCACTGTATAGGCTTTCTTTTCTGTTACATTTGTTAATTCCCTTTCTTTACTTACCACCCTTATCTATTTTGCTACCCTGGGGATGAACAGCCCAAACAGAGCAGGCATAGACAGAGCTCAAATAGTAAAAAGCAGGAAAGAATATTTTGAACCTAGATCCCAGTCCAATGCATACAATATTCTGCTCAGCAAAAGTAAGCAATATCCCACTGTAGAACTAAGAATAGCATATAACGCATTTTCACTCTCCAACCCTACTATGAAAAATTTACTAACATAACCTTAGGGGTTTAAACACCCCTCATAAACGCCACATACTATTGCAAGATGTCAAGGCTGCCCGCGCTGATGTATTATGTTTATAAGAAACATTTTGTTAAATCTTGCCACCATTTGGTACTACTGACTACCCAATACAATATTATTCAACTCATACAACTATTGGTTGGGATATGTTATAAACCACCTAATGTTAATATTGACGAGGAACAACAGCTGTTTGAGCAAATTGAGAAAGCTGCAAATCTGGGTAACACTTTAATTATTGGAGATTTTAATTACCCGGACATAAATTGGGACAGAAGGACTAGTAGCCCAGCAAAGGGAATTAGGTTTCTAAACTTGTTAAATGACACCTTCATGTCACAACTTGTACAAGCACCAACTAGAATGGATTCTTGTCTGGACCTGGTTTTAACAAACAACGTTGATCTTTTGGCCAACATTCAAGTAGGTGAGCACTTGGGAAATAGTGATCACAATATAGTGTCCTTTGAAATAAATTCAAAAAAAACAAAAGCACATGGGGAATACTAAAACATATAATTTTTAAAAAGGCCAATTTCAATAAGTTAAGGGAAGCTTTACAATATATTGACTGGCATAAACTCTTTAGTGAAAAGAACACTGAGGATAAATGGATCATCTTCCAACAAATATTACAAAGGTACATTTCTCAGTATGTACCGTTGGGAAATAAATATAAAAGAAACAAATTAAAACCAATGTGGCTTAGTAGAGAAGTAAAACAAGAGATTACAACTAAGAAAAGGGCATTTAAATCGGACAAATCAGATGCATCTTATAAAAGATATAAGGATGCAAATAATGCGTGCAAAAAGGCAATTAGACTTGCTAAATTTAAAAATCAAATAATGATAGCCAAAGAGAGCAAAACCAACCCCAAAGCATTTTTTAAGTACATAAATTCTAAAAAAAAAACAAAATGAAAGTGTAGGTACACTAAAAACTGAAACGGGGGTGTTAGTTAATGAAGACCAGGAAAAGGCAGGAATTTTAAATAACTATTTCTCCTCTGTATATATTAAGAAAGAACCCATGGCAATAGATGTGCAAATGATTGCTACTAAAAACTTGCAGAATAATTGTAATTGGTTAACTCAAGACAAGGTGCTGCAGCAACTAAAGAAAGTTAATATAAACAAAGCTCCAGGGCCTGACGGTATCCATCCACGTGTACTTAAGGAACTAAGTGCAGAAATAAGTGAACCTCTGTTTTTAATCTTTCAAGATTCTTTTCTTTCAGGAAGTGTTCCGGAGGATTGGAGGAAGGCAGATGTGGTTCCATATTCAAAAAGGGTTCAAAATCCTTGCCTGGAAATTATAGACCTGTGAGCTTAACTTCTGTGGCTGGTAAAATATTTGAAAGGTTATTAAGGGATAATATTCAAGAATTCCTTGAGAAGAACATGGTTATCAGCAAAAATAAGCATGGTTTTATGAAGCACAGGTCATGTCAAACTAACTTGATTGCGTTCTACGAAGAAGTAAGTAGAAGTATAGATCAGGGTGTTGCCGTGGATGTGATCTATTTGGATTTTGCCAATGCATTTGATACAGTTCCACACAATAGATTAGTGTTCAAACTCAAGGAAATCGGTCTAGATGAAAATGCTTGTTCTTGGGTAGAACATTGGCTTAAAAACAGAGTACAAAGAGTTGTCATTAATGGTAAATTTTCAAGCTGGACAGAGGTGGCAAGTGGTGTCCCTCAGGGGTCTGTTCTGGGACCCCTTCTATTTAACATGTTTATAAATGATCTTGAAGACCGCATTGAAAGTCATGTTTCAGTGTTTGCAGATGACACCAAACTTTGTAAAACAATACAATGTGAGCAAGATATTACTTTGCTGCAGAGGGATTTAGATAGACTGGGGGACTGGGCACTCAAATGGCAGATGAAATTTAATGTTGAAAAATGCAAAGTTATGCACTTCGGCGTAAAGAATACACAAGCAACGTATACCCTTAATGGAAGCGAATTAGGGATAACAACACATGAAAAGGACTTGGGAATTGTTATAGACAACAAACTATGCAACAATGTGCAATGTCAATCAGCAGTGGCCAAGGCCAGTAAGGTATTGTCATGCATGAAAAAGGGCATTCATTCTCGGGACAAGAATATCATTTTGCCTCTTTATAAATCACTGGTAAGACCCCATACTGAATATGCTGTGCAATTTTGGGCACCTGTTCTAAAGAAGGATATTATGGCACTAGAAAAAGTGCAGAGGCGGGCTACAAAATTAATAAAAGGAATGGAACATATCGGCTATGAAGAAAGGTTAACAAATTTAAACCTATTTAGTTTAGAAAAACGTCGCCTGAGAGGGGATATGATAACATTATACAAATATATTCGGGGCCAATACAAACCATTGTGTGGAACTCTATTCACAAACCGGACTTTACATAGGACACGAGGCCATGCGTTTAGACTGGAAGAAAGAAGATTTCGTCTAAGGCAAAGGAAAGATTTTTTTACTGTAAGAACAATCAGGATGTGGAATTCTCTGCCTGAAGAAGTGGTTTTATCAGAGTCCATACAGATGTTCAAATGGCTACTAGATGCATACTTGCAAGAACAAAATATTCAAGGATATAATCTTTCAATGTAGGGTAATAACTGCTTGATCTAAGGATAAATCTGACTGCCATTCTGGGGTCAAGAAGGAATTTTTTTCCTAGCTTGTTGCAAAATTGTGCTTCAAACTGGGTTTTTTTTGCCTTCTTTTGGATCAACAGCAAAAAACAAATGTGAGGAAGGCTGAACTTGATGGACGCAAGTCTCTTTTCAGCTATGTAACTATACATCCAAAGCTTGGGGAGTATATACATTGATGCATAAATCACTCACATTTGAATTGCTTAAATTGATCACAGATCACCAAGGTCAGTATTTGATCTTTCTATGTATGATCAATGATGTCATCTATACAATAGTAAATGTATATAGCCCAGATACACAGCAAAGGAATTTTCTCCACAAAATGCTAAAACAAATAGATCCCATTAAAACTGAC